GGACATAGAAATCAACACTACATGCTCATTAGCAATTTTATCATGCAGTGCTGATTTCTATAACTATGCCACATACGTTCTTCTTAATATTAAGCACTCTTCTGAGTAAATATAGAAAATTTTAAACATATATATATATATATATATATATATATATATACATACACAAATCTAGAAACAAAAATGTTTAATTTTAAATAATTAAACAAAAGAAAAAAAATTATTATTTACTCCAAATCAATAGCAAATAGAGAATTTGTGCATCTACCTTTGAATTATAACTTTTTCTAATCTTTCTCGGTAAACTTTTACTAAATTATCACAAACATCTGCAGACATATTTTGCTGCACTTCATGAGTATAATCTTCAATTTTTCAGATTATTTTATTTTCTTGTTCCTACATATCTTTTCAATTCATTGCATACGTTTTCAATTAGATTCATGTCGGTCCTCTATGGTGGCCAAGGCAGACAAGCTGAAGATATCTATGGTTTAATTTAAAAGCATATTTTCAATCATGATCATGAGTAAAGTTCCAAACACACTTCAGTTTTAGATTTCTAATGGACACTTTCATTATTTTATAATCTTTTTCTTTCTTTTTTTTTTTTTTTCTTTTTTTTAATTATAACATTTGCTCTTATTAATCTTCCTCTGCCTATTGGAGAGAAACACCATGAAATTATAATACACCCTCTTCTAAGTTTTGTTGTAGGGATGGTGGTGTTTGGATTGAAAATCTCACCTTGATGTCTCCAAACAAATCTCTTATAATTATGTCCCAAAAGTTGTGGTCTCATTTGTTTATAGTATATTTTCCCAGAATGAAATAAGCCTATCAGTATGCTCATTTGCAAATACTAAATGACTGGCCTTCTTAAAAGGGGTCTTACAAGATCGGCATTTTTGTATTCTAGCTCTTTGCCGAGATCTAGAAATAGTATTTCTTCTTACTTTCACACTAATGCCTTCCAAATTATTCCTAGGATCTTTAATGATATTTGGATTATATCCAAAATTCTTATAAAGTTATGCTGTACTCTGGCCAACTGCTTCTATCTTCTTCCTATAAACATGCAGGCTTATTTGCAGTAGTATTTTCTCTTTAACTTTAGAATGATGCTTTGAACAGTTGATTTCAATCAGTGAGTTAAGTGCCATGTGTGATACATACTTAGGCAAATATTTCTTTCAACTCGTGACTGAGCAGAAGATTTCCCACAGTAGGCTGCAGTTTCTTTATGCAGTAGACTGGTTTGGCAACCAGTATACTGCAGTATATTGATCTATCTTGCTGTTCAACCTATAGCTGGTGGAGGACGAGATGGATTCATACATTTCCCTGGGGTATTTGCATGAAAATGAATGTAACACTCCTGAATTTAAACTTGGCTTTCTGATTTCTTATACCAAGTTGTTAGTCATTACACTATGCTGTACATCCAAAGTTGATTTAGGGACAGTAAATAATTTAGTATTTTCATATCTTGTGCTTAATTTGAAGAATCTTGGTTTTAATTTTTAAACTATTGCATGTCACCACCATTACTTAGATATAAGGATGCATGGTCTAATACTTAAAAGTTTAAAAAAAAAAAAAAAAAATCCAACATAACATGAATAATTATAGCAAGATTGAAATCACCAAATTTTTTAAATATTCATATATTTATTACTTAATATTTATCATTTATACATGAAAAAGTTATAATTTTCTTGTTTATACTTGTGCTATTAATTTTGGACATAGGGTTTTTGTTTGTTGTTAGTTGTTAAATATATATTACATAATGTTATTCTTTTTGTATTACATCTACCTACCACCTTATAGGACTTAACTGCAGTGATATGTAAAAATAAATAAATATAAACTAATGGGATACCATGACAATAATCTTGTGGTCAGCAGTGTGTGTGTGTATATATGCATGTGTGTGTGTGTATGTATATATATATATATATATATATATATATATATATATATGTGTGTGTGTTTGTGATTGTAGAGATATCAATAACTGTAACCTAGTGATTTAAAAATATTGCACAATATTTTTCAACATATTCTTCTTAATTAATGCAGTTAAATCAACACTTCTCGATTAATCATACAAATTGAACATTATGCTGTGACAGTTTCAATTCCTAATTCTTCTAATAACTATCGAAGTACAAAACTTGAACTTTCCTCATATATATATATATATATATATATATATATATATATATATATATACACACTCTCTCTCTCTCTCTCTCTCAGAATTATATTGTTATATGAAAATCTTATTTCATCTTGACAATACATGGAAAACTTTTTACTTTTAAAATGTTTAAATGGAGAAAAAAAAAACAATTTTTCATAAAATGCCACCATAAATTGACATGTAAGATTTAATGAAAGATGATTTAGTTTTCAGAAAATTAAAAAACTAATTGGCCTTTTCTGATATATATTGCTAATTTAATCTCTCCAATATTAAATATGTAAGGGCTTGCAACATTTTTTCTGCCATTCTCCAACTTCTCAATTTTAGTCAAACTCAACTTTATCTCAAGGTTGTGAAATTATGGGTTTGTAGAAGCATCAACCAGTTTAAGTTAATCTATTTTTATTAAAGAGTATTATACACTACATTGACATTCAGTTGCCCATAAACTCCTGAGCTGAACATAGTTGTAAGCATTAGAATGTAACAAGGTATGGAGAGTTTACTAGCATAAAATTTACTTTTAAGGTATTTTTCTGTTTTCACTTTTTCATTCCCCATCAAAACTTCATACACTTTATTACTAAGTTTCATTCATATGGTCCAGTGCCCCTGCTATTTACCTTGAGCTTCTTGATAAGATCCAAAGAAGAATCAGCAATATTATTGGTCTTGATCTGGTAGAATTGCTTCAGTCACTTACTCACCATCATGAAGTTGCTTCTGTGCTTTTTCTATAAATACTTTCATGGTAATTGTTTGGATGAGCTCTTCACTATGGTACCTAGACTTTATGAATTTAACCACGGGTACTAGACTGGCATTGAGATCTTATCAATTTACAGTTGAGCTGGCTAGATGTAGCCATAAGTTCTATGCTAACAGTTTCTTTTCTCGCACTTCTCACTTGTGGAACTCCCTTCCAGCCTCATGCTTTCCAGCCAACTTTAATCTGCAAAAATTTAAATGCAATCGTCAATCGCTATCTACTGTCCTCCTGATTACTCTTTTCTCTTTCCACTCATTATTAATGTTTCTGTTGCTAATTCCTCCATACTCTGTAATCTCTTGTCTTAGTGGCTTTACTGCCTTGCACGGGGTAATACTGACTTTTTTCTTTCTTTCTTTTTTCTTTTTAATATAGAAAAGCTTTTTTGTATTTCTCAAATAGTCATTTTTACCTGAGAAGTGTTGAAAAATCATGATCCATTTGATTAGTGAAATGAAATAATTTTCAGATGCATGTCTTAATTGTTAAATATAAATTTTTGATGAATCCATTTTTAATTTAAATAAAAAATGAAACCGGTTTATTTCAGTTGATATATCTAAAAATAAAACTTCCAAATCCTCTTGAATAACATTTTAATTAAGATCAAAGTTTTATACTTGATCTTATTTCTAATTTCAACATTCAAACATCTCATCTGCCCAAATCTCAAGTCTTTCCGACATCAAAATAATAAGGGAATTAATCTCTTTCTATTATTTCTAACAGAACAACAACAACAATAATAATAATAAGGAAATTAATCTCTTTCTAACAGAACAACAACAACAGTAATAATAATAATAAGTGAATTCATTTCTTTCTAACATTTCTAACAGAACAATAATAATAATAATAATGGAATTTCTAACATGTCTAACAAAACAATAAGTGAATTAATCTCTTTCTATTATTTCTAACAGAACAACAACAATAATAATAAGGAAGTTAATCTCTAACAGAACAACAACAGTAATAAGTGAATTCATTTCTTTCTAACAGAACAACAACAATAATAATAATAATAATGGAATTTCTAACATGTCTAACAAAACAATAATAAGGGAATTAAATTCTTTCTATTATTTCTAACATAATAATAATAATGGAATTTATCTCTTTCTAATATTTCTAACAGAACAACTTATTAGATCTGTGCAGAAAATTCATTAGATATGATACATTTTTTTTAATTTTGTACTGAAAGAATCAAAAAAAATATTTAAGAAATTTTATTCTTTTGAATTTCAGACTAGATGGAATCCTTACATTTATTTACTCTCTGCATAAATTAATGGTTTTCAACCAGGATGAATTCTAGTGTTCCAGTAAGGAATTAGTACCAAAAGATTGATTGATTCAAACTACTAGAATATTGATCTTTCTACAAAGTACAATTCACCTTTTAAGTCAGACAATCTTGAAGTGGGTAATAACATTCTAAAATATAAGGAAAAGGGTACATGGTTAAAAAAAACAAAAAACAAGCAAATATTGAGAAACCTGATTTGATTATCTGAAAATAAAGTTTTATCTCTGCTAATAAAATGTTGTTTTAAAGTTCTTGTCTCTAGAATATGCAATGGACACTTATTAGCCTGAATTAATTGCCCCTTGTTAAACAAATCCAAACAATTCTGTATCTTAACAGATCAGCTTTATCAAAAGCCCTATCCACTGCTGCTTTGCCTGCCTGGCTTGCAATTCTCAATATCACCTTCTCATTAGAAAATAAGTTTGCATTTTTGCTGTTTATCATTTAACCAGTTTGTCATTTACTGCTTTTCAAATTTTATTTACTGTTATTCTTTAAAAACTCTTACTTGTTCAAATTCACAATGTCTTAGTGCAATCATTTTTTTTTTTACATACATAGTTGCACGTTTATTCTTACACTTCTCAATGCATTTACATTTATCTTTTACACATACACAATTATGCTTCTTTTAACTCTATTTTTCAACTTGACCTCTCTCACTTGCACACACACAATGTCTGAAAATAAAATCTCATACAGGCTTATGGCCATATCAGGTTGGTTGAAACACCAGTTCTTGTATGTTCACCAAAGTTAAGCAATGTTGAGCCTGATCAGTACCTAAATGAGTAACCACTTGGGAATACCAAGTGCTGTAAGCTTGGCTGTGCCGGTGGTGAAATGGATAATGGCTCAGAATTGGAAATCCAAGAGCCAAACTTCAGTTCCAATCAGGTCCATTATATTCACTTATGTGTGCAAGTACTCTTGGGAAAAGTATAAATCTGCCTCTTCTCCCTTCAGCTATGGGTTAATTAGTAGAACGTGTATCAGTAAATTCTTACAATCTAAGAATATTTTCTGTCTTTAAATAACTTGTAAAAGGATAAGCAGTAAAAACAAACAACTCAATAAATTAAAAAAAAAAAAACCTTATACAAATTATTAATCTATCTCATCAATTATTCCTGATTTTTTAAATAGTCATTTTATCTGAAAGGTGTTGCTTGAAGAGATACCAAAAAGTTGGTATGCTAAGCTTTTGAAAGACTTGGATCTATTATAAGGATTGTGATACCCTATGGTTAAATATTCATTGTCTTTAGTTGTATGTCTCTCTGTCTTGCTTATTTTTTTTATCTTTCCTTTTATTTTTCTTGCATTTTTGTGAATAGTTGCAACCTGTAGTAGTATTATTGCATCTATTTGCAAATAAAGAAGGACCAATTACATGTGACTGCATTTTCCTTGATTCATCTTATAAAATATATTATTTAATACTTATATCTTTTTAGTTATTTTACTTATACTGTAGTTCTCTTATTTTTCCTCTAATTTTTCATTATTATTTTTATATCATTGCTTTTAAGTTCATTTTCAGCTTACTTAAAAATTAAGAAAATTACAAGTCACTTATATATTCTGTAGATAATACAACTAAATGTTGAAATATTCACTACATGATAAGTAGAATATGCATTTTATATACTGTTCTATACACATTCACCTAAAATGACCACATTATTTACTTATTTACTATCTACCAATAAAAATGTGAGTCAATATACACATTTGTCATGTTTGTTTATTTAAATTTATTTTAAGATAAGTGGACATGTGGCATATCACAAAGAATTGTATGCCAACTTTGTTCTTAATATCTCTAATCTTTAGACAAAATGTATAATTTATCAGATTTGACAATCCAGAAGATTTTTTTTTCTTTTATGTGCCATGTCCTTTCATGTTTTTAATTATAACTTTCCACGACTTACTATCCTTTGTAGCTCTTAGAAATCTTGCCAGATCTTCTTCTGTCAACCACTTACACCAGCTTGTTAGCTTACTCAATGTTTCCCTATTGCCTTCAGTATGTCCTGTGAATGTTAAATTCTCCAAGCCCTCTTTCTTCATTGTGTCCCAGGCATTTCAAATATCTCTAAGTACAAGTTTCATTTTCATTTCCATTTTCCTTAAAACTTCATTTGCTCACCTATTTTGTCCATGTTATTTTCAGCATTTTTCTGTAGATACAGGTTTATGTTACCTTAAATCTTATTTTCATCTGTGAGGAAATTGTCTAGCATTCATCTCCATATGAGAGAACTGATATTACATAGCAGATTAGGACTCTTTTCTTTGTTTCTAACAATGGTCCAAAAAGAAGGAAAAATATTATATTGCTTGATAGATTTAACTTTAAAAAAAAAAATTCCTAAGTTAACATTAGGATTATTTGATAAATCTTCATTAATTTATTCTCCTTTCTTCCACTCAATATCATTCCACAGAATTTTTTGGTGAAATATATTTCTCTAACTTTCCAATGGCACCAGTTGTTATACATATTATCTTCTACTTCTGACTCTTACTATATTCAGTTAAACCAGAATGACATGTATTACTACAAGTAGATTTTTTTCTTCCAACACATGCTGAGTACAGTTACCTCTTCATATTGCGAGGAGTGTCACCTTAACAATATCTGTTTTCAGTAACTTTATTCATTAGATCTTTCATAAGTAGATCTTCATTATTTACTTTCACCTATATGGAAATTGTGTATAGGTGACAAGTATACTTGCTCAAAGCATAACAACTGTACTAGTGTTGTAAAGATTAATTAACAATATTTATATAAGCTCTCTTAAAAAAAAAAAACATTTATTGCAGATGATACAGCAGATTCTTGTTAATCAGAAAGGAAATTAATTTTATTGTAATGATCTTCAGCTCAATTGCTAAAGTAATAGGGCTTTAATCAGGAAAAAAGAAATGTCTTCAATCATTGAGTTTAATTATTTAGTTTAATTTTTCAAGAAAACTTACAAGTTTTAATGTGTAGCACTTGTAACACCAAGGGAAAATAATAATATAATCATGTTTCTTTCTACATTACCTTAAACAAAAAAGTTTTGAAAGAAACTCCCATCAATACTAAAAAGAGTGATAACAATAGACTTGAAGTCTGTTTTCCTGGAAAATTTTTAAGAAAAAGATTTTTTAATTTCAACTGACAGTGATGTTATTTGATGAATGTCCAATGTTTCCTATATGGAAACAGCTAATCTCACCATTATCAGTTATTTTGTTCTTATTCTGGAAAATACATTGGCGGATCAAAAATTAGAATTTCTCGGCCTTATTCAGTTCTGTTTTCTTTAAATGCTAGAAAAATAAAAGCATTATCAAACCACCAGTCAATAATTTCTGTGATTTTTTAGTATAAATTTAACAAAAATGAAAGGAAAAAGTTACAAAAATGAAACATTAAATAACTAGATGTATTTATCAGGGACATAGAGGAAATAAGGCTTGGAGAATTTAATACTCACAAGATATATTGAAGGCAACAAGTCCATAGGGAAACATCAAGTAACTTACCTAATGATCTTGTACAAAACAAGTAATGGATGGAATAGTAAGGGGACAAATATTGCTTAGAGCTACAAAGAATAAGAAGTTGTGAAGAGCTATGATCATCCACAGCACAAAAGAAAAAAAATGAATAGTTTTGCTTTTATATGACAGAAATATTTTAAATTTCAGTAGGTGACTTAATCTTTTATTATATAAGCACACCTAAATTTGAAATTTCTCATTGTTTTGTCTATTTTTATCTTCTATAATGTTCCAGTGAAGAAAATTGAATTTTATAAATTTCTCTCAATCTAATAAGCGCATTCTAATTTGCATTTTCTGAATTGCTGTGAAACATGTCTTGCTAATTAGAGTATGATGGTGTCTGTTGATGAACATATCAATTTACAAATAAAACATTTTATAAAAGCACTAAGCAAGAAACTTCCTAAAATCTTTAATACTCTCATTGTAGGAAGCAGATGCCTAACTATCAATAAATTAATCAGACTAAAAAAAAAAATAATAATAATTAAAATATCTTGCAAACTGCTAATTTTCATCTAAATGAAATTTAGGTAATATTAAACCTTGTCTAAATGTAGGTTCTGTATAATAGATTAGGGGATCGTTAATTTTTTTTTTTTTTTTTTTTTTACCTAACCTTATATTCAGAGTCCTACTTTTGTTATGAAAAGTTATGCATGATAAATTAAAAAATACCATTAAAAATATAGCATATTTTATTTCAACCATTTTTTTCCATGAGTAAAATGAGGAAATATAATGCAGCATTTGCAACCAATATGTCTAAGAATTTGTAAGACAAAATAAAAAGATTATACTTACCTTATTTGAATTTTAAAATGTCCTGGATCAGAAATAGAATTCAAAGGGACATGGAATTGTCCTCATCTTTCGGACTATTGTCCTCATCTTTGCGTTTTATTTGCAATTTTAATGCGCATAAGACCTTCTTCTTTCAAAAGTTGAATTTGCCTTAACCAGGAATTTATTCCTGGGTTAACTGTTCATTGGAGAACTTTCAGATGGGAAAATTAGCAGGAGATAACTGATAATTTGACATCCATGAAAGTTGGCACTGTGGAATTAGAATTTATTCCTGGTTACCCCAGCGATCGAAATAAAGGGTTCAGTTGAAATTCCAACCACCTGAAGAAGGCCGGAGCGCATAAACGTAAAACGTTGTAGACAAATATGGCGACAAAGATGAGGACAAAGAACCACTAATGTAAATACTGTACATAATACCTCATCTCAGAAATATAGACAAATTCAAAGGAGGGTTCAAAATATGAGGTTACGAAAAAAAAAAAAAAAAAAATTGAGGGAAATCTAAGTAAAAGGATTCAGAAATGTGAGGTATGCAGAAATTAGTTTGTTAATCATTTTACCCCCAAAAAGGGTAATAAAGCTTACTAAAACACAAGGAGTTACTGAGAGTGAAAGAATCTGACAAAAACTTTGAGGAGAGGACAAAAAAAAAGATCAAGATTCATGAAGAAAAATGATGATTGATATTGTTTAGGATGTTAAAATTGACACGAGTCATAGATAATTTAAAGTATAACTGAAGACAACTGATTTTTTGTCTTATTAAATATGAAGTCTTTTTTTATTCTGAGTAAATCCAGTGATGATTTTAATATTTAAACAATGTTTATTATATGAACTTTTTGTGCAATAAAACTTAAACAAGATATAGCTTTAATTGTGATTTTTTTTTTTTTTTTTTTTTTTTTTTAGCAATAAATGTATTTTTAATTGAATGTAAATGCTTGTCACAGAAATTTTGCCTATCGAAATGCAATAAAGTCCCTTGTCCAAAATTTAGTAATATGCAGCAAAAGGGTAGTCAAACTGAAGAGAGATTTTATGCAGTATTTACAAATCTAATAATATGCTTTCAAAAAGAAGTTTCTACAAGAAATATGAAGTTCAGATCTTTTCCCTTTTGTGGTTTTTCCTTTGATTGTTCTTTGAAAAACATAAGACTGTTTTTTTTTTTGTTTTTTTTTAAGTTTTCTGTTTTATAACCACAAGTAATAACCACATCTTTTGAATTTACTTTCATCTTTCAACACTTTCTGATGAATAATCCTTTCAAGTGTTAGATTGTAATATATTCTTGCCATCTTCATTTACCATTCTACTTTGACTGGCTTACTATTTTGTTGGTCCAATATCACTATAGTCTTCAACATGCTAGACAGGAACATGTTATGGTAGTTTTTTTTTTTTATTTGTATTTATTTTTGATAGTGGAAGTAGTACTTGCA